CATATTACGGCTCCCCGGTGATAATTTACGTGCTGGGATATTTTTTTTATTTTTTGAATAGTTGGGATATTTTTTTTATATATGGCAAAAGTTGGGGCATTTTTTTAATTCTCTCTAAATAATTATATTTATTAGTATAAAATATATCTTTAATAATAAAATAAAGATTATGATTCAAATCTAGAAAATATAATAAATATAATATAATATTCAAAATTTTGAATATTATGTCATTTTATTAAAATTTACACGCAATACCTAATATTACCTGGGATTGCGTGACGTTTTGCCATTTTGCCGAAATATAGGCGATTTTGGTGTTTTTATGGTATTTTTAATCAACTTTCTATTGTATCAAGACAGTGTGCAGTAATCAGAGGGGTATAATGATAGGAAACGGCATAAAAAAAGTCGAAGCTTTCAAATGATGCATATTATATATCGTGTTATAAAGAAATCAAAACCTTCGTGTTACAACGCAAACTAACCCACGTCTCTTTAGTGAACATGCAGATGAACTCGTGGATACGTCATTGTCACCATAAAGACTTGACTTTTAAGTCCTACGACATATTGTTAACGAAGTGACGTGAAAAGTGTAATCGTCCATATATAAAATAAAAATGAGTGAGGTTTGACATGAGTTACGGTGGCTACGATCATACTATACCTAAACGATAGAGTTGTTCTAGATATTCATCATGTCAATATGATCATTCGTCACATTCACACCAAAGCGGTTGGATCGTTGCATTAACGTTCACCAAATGGTCAAACGGATATTCTCTGCCTAAACGTTTAGTACTTTCTTTGATAAAATTGACACTCTCCGTAAATTGCCTTACAGCGTTGCTTCATCAGCTTACGGCTAGACCAACTCAAAAACTATCATGGCATAATTATCGTTTAACCACTCGTGAGAGCCACAATTCGAGCCATGCCTCGGTGCACTTGTGCCTCGAGGTACGGACCTTCCACCACTTCGCCGTCGACACACATAAGATCGGAAGATCGCTCTGGAGCAAGCTTTAAAGCTCGAGTTCGCACCTGCTGCACACCCTTTTTATCTATGTGATCACCTGACTCGATAGCTAGCATCATAGCCAGTAAATCTTTACGAGAGCAATTGCCATCCATGTGCGTGATGTAGTAGTATCCGTCATCAAATTTGGCAGATGGAGCAAGAAGCGCATCAGATGCAGCATGTGATACATTCATGACCCATACAATCCGAAAGTGACCGCTAAGCTCTTTCCATTTACCTTTTGTTTGAGCATCTCCACTATCTTTTGGAGGCCCTTGACCATCCCCGTCAAACAGATCCATTACAGGACGGTCTATCATCTTCAAATCATTTTGTCTTTCAAAGTAGGGCGGATTCGTATCATCACTTTCATCCAAATACCAAATTTTGCCTGGATAAATTGGTTTTTGAATCAAAAGCTGATAAATGAACGCGATCGTAAAGCGCAGTCCACCTAGCATTCGAAACTTTTCAGAGCCAATATCCACATCAGCGATAGAAGCCCATTCCAGCGACAAGAATGAGTACGTTGTTTCTTTCCCGTTACGTACAGATGCAATATCCAGGTTATGAGGTGTACCTTTGGCCAGAATGAACGCTGCATTGATCGGTCGTCCCTTCTCACCGCCTTGATGAGCGATCGAGTGTGCAAGACCATTGCCTGATCCACCTGGAATGACACCAATAGGTTGTCGAATTGCATCCTTCCAGTCTACTCGCTTCATCAGACCCTGTACAACTACAAAGCAACCGTCGTTAGATACCTGATGACAAACTATATCAAATATCTACACATACTCTCATACAAACTGCCGTCGCCACCCACAGCCACAACACAATCGTAAATACTAAGAGGTATGTCCATAACGATCTCCATCGCATGGTTCGCACGATCCATTACCTTAACTTCCGTCTCAATGTTAGCATAACGAAGTATAGGCGCAACTTTTTCGTTGTAAATCTGAAGAGCTCGCCCCGGTCCACTCACCGGATTCACAAGTACTAAAAACTTGCGTGGGCGCTGATCCACAAGCTTTAATTGATCAAGACTTTCAAGCTTCTCAACACTTGCTTTATTTCTTGGATCTACGATAAAATTAATCACCTTGAGCAATTTAAGCACCTGTGCCATCACTTTTCCTTCAAATTGAAATAGAAATTCCTTTAAGTGTCTCTTTTTAAGCTTTTTACAGCTACGACTTGAGTCGACACAGGCAAAGATGCCAAGCAAAAACGTAGCGTCGTTCGGTACGTCCACTGGTGTCTGCATGAGCACTCCACTTGCTGTAAGTACATGCGCACCAAGAACAACATCCCATGGCAAATTGAGCGTCTGTTGCTTCGGCTGGACAGTCTCGACCACACAATGCGAAGTCGTCAGACGAAAAAAAACGGATTCAAGACTAGAGCCGAACCACCACGTCTTGATCACTTGCTCAAATTCGAGTTCAGCTAGTAAAGCATTGAAGGATGCAAAACTTCCCGAGGATTCTGAAGACACATTATCTCGAGGATGTGTGAAAGAAAGAGGAGCACTGGAAGGTACAAAGGCAGCAGTAGACTCTGATAACATGGTTTTGTGAATCAAGAAGCGATAAAATTGAAGATGGTATGTGGTGTGTCGTATTTTCGTGGTGTCGACTTTAAAGAGGCAGTTCGGAACCCATTTAGAGATATAAAATAAAATCAGTCACATCTAGTTAAGAAAGAGAACTCTCGAACTTTTCTGTTACGATAAAAATTACTATATGAGTATCGGGCACAAAGCGTGATTCTCATCTCTGCTGTTAAGGAATGCTGGTTCTACCATCATGTGTGCTTCCTCGTCGACTTGCAAGCCGTCAAAGCTGCTGATCAACGGGGACATCCAGTCGGCACTATCGCGGCTTGTGATTTATTGATCCATAATCTGTGCTAGTCTTTGCTCTAACTTCGAGCCGACGAAAATCTACAGCGGGCACACGAGGAACATCCATACCACAACGAGCATGTTCTACGCAGATGACTTAACTCATCCCGCCAGCTCGAACCTTAACATCGTGGTTTTGTATGTTGCTGCTGGATTGCAATCAAAACGTGGGCTGTTCTCAGCTTCCTGGCGTCTAAATGCTTAGTCGTCATATGACTGTCTTGCGCAATCGATACGCGAGGCATATCCAACTCTTTGAGGCGATTCGATACAGCGACGGAGTTCCGTTTCTGGTAGTGCGTCTCCAACTTCACCGTATTGCGTTAATACTGCGTGAGCGAGCGTGACTAACATTCGGATAGTCTTACGCTTGTCACTTAAACTATCTCATTTTGACAAACGCAACGAATCAAACTTCCTTTTGATCTCCCCGCTCCGACACAATGAAGTGATCAAGCGTAGATATGGTGAAGAGAGACGTGGACTTGGTTGCTCGAAGCCCGCTGAAAGACTACGTGGTATCAACTTCCTTCAGAAGAGTGCTCAGCGAATCGTACCCCACAGCCACTTTCAACTGCATAACGAACAAAATTAAAGTCAAACACTACGGTGGCGTAACGTCGTTGCATCAGCATGGTGTGTACGCCGCCACAAGCTTTTGTCTGCATGTGTCAATGGTGTTCAAGCTGTGGTTAATATTACCATCATGGTTGATGAGATTGCGTGACTCACTCGACTAGGTTTTGTACAAAGCCACATCGACTTTGCTCAAAGTGGACTGCAATTCTGTACAAGGAGTTGATACAGATCGACGACAGACTAAAAGCGCAGCAACTTGTTTTACTCTATCAAAAGATCTGAGGGCGTAGATCTTTTCCCTACCTCAGTATAGCAAGTGGCGCGAAGGTGCGTTTGCTTCGGGCATACCGTAAGCAAGCCGCATCCGATATCTGTACACTCGCAAGGCTTCGACGAAGCTCAGATCAAGTCGTTCGTCGAATTTGGTATGCTACTGCGGAAGGTTTTACATGGTTTCTATGACATCTTGCAGAGGAGAACTTCATATGTCGCATAGAGAGATTGTGGCGTGCTGCATTTTGTCGACTGCGGACATAAATTCAGCAGGACTATGTGAACCAAGTACCAATGGTGAGCGAGAAACAACTGCGCTGGGTTGCCGATCATCAATGCGATAATTCGTCCTGAATTTCTCAATTGCAAGCAGACGGTTGGGTAGGGTTCCCTTTTCGAATAATGCATTTTTAGGTTAAACACTACCTTTCTGTGAATAAAACGAGAACAATTCTTATCTCTCCCAAAGGTGCAACATATTTATTGTTGAGAAGAGAAGAGAAGAGAAGAGAAGAGAAGAGAAGAGAAGAGAAGAGAAGAGAAGAGAAAAGAAGAGAATAGAAAAGAAAAGAAAAGAAGAGACAATGCCGTTCTACGTTGTACAGAACTTTTGTACTTTATTGTACAATAATAAAGCTATGTACTGTATAATTTAGCCTAAATAAGCTCTATCTCAAAGTGCATAATGTATGAATAGTGTACACACTTGTGTTTCTTGTTCATCCATGAATATGCTAAACTCACACACTTTGTAATTCGTCGACGCTTTAGTCCTTTAAAGTTAATATCTATGTTGTATGATTGTGTGTTTCTTGGTTGCTGCGGGAACTTTACTAGCTGTCGGCGAAGTAGAATCGAGGGCTACTGTTTCTCAGGTCGAAATAAACGTTGTAAGTAAAGGATTGAAGTTCACCATTCCGGAAGATCTTGAGAACGCAAACAAAGCTTTTATTGAGAAGGTGCAACAACTCATCCAAGGTCAAGTAACGCATAAACGGTATCAAACTGAATTAGGTATTACGGATGCTAATTTCTACCATCACGACATGAAGGACCAAGTTGAACAGCTCCAACTTTACTTAAAAATTCTTTTCAATGTCGAAAGAAGTCAAGATATCCACCTGGACGCAAGGACGTTTGCGAAACACCTCCGTCAGAGTAAGGAATAACTTTACCCGTTGTCTACATTCGAAATATATCGAATAAGTAGATCATATCTGCAATTGTAAACAACATGTCATTAGTTTATTCTATTGTCAGATAATAAAAAACGACATTTTCTGCATTGCTAACCCTGTTGACTTCACCATTCTTTATATCTTACCCATCATATCAGCGAAATTACGGCTAGCAACTTGATTGCGCTATCTACTGAATGTAATCGATTGCAATACATACTCTGCTCCCTGCGAGGCTGGAGAAATGACATCGATAATTTAAGTCACTTTTCTCGCGATGATTTTGCTAATTCCAGGTGAAAAGTTTTCGCAACATCAGAAGTTTTAGGGAGTCTAATTTCACCTTCACGCCATCGCTCATATTTCACTTACGGTTGCCAAATTGCTCTGTAGAGTAGCTGTGGTGCTATCCACATATACAATCGTTTCGTCCGCGTTGGTAATCTAATAAATCTACAGGATTGCCCCAACTCATCAATCACAAATTATCATTGCAAAGAAACTTACAATAAAAAACATCGTGAATCCCTTCGTATTATTGAGATTGGATTCGTTATGCATCCATCGACAATACTCGAAATGAGAAGCATATATTTCTTCGAATGGCATGCTCTTGCATTTTTCAAATGTTAGTTCGCTCGACATTTAATTTTGTATATAGCGTCTAACTGTATTTGAGATAAATTTATTAACTCTGTGATTCAGATGATTTGTGGTCGAGTGGCTACTTTCGCTGCTCGTGGTCAAAAGACCTCGCCGGTTTAACGTTTCAAGGAATGTTTTCGTGATAAATCACGGCAGGGAATAAAACTGCCGGCATAATGTTCTGGATACTACTACAATTGGTCATCAAAAAAGATCGACATCTTACCGAGATCTTCGTACTGTCGGCGAAAGTAAGGCATTTGAGGTATCTGCAACATGTGAAATGCTGCGTTGCGATTAAGATATCTAGAAAGTTATATGGAGTGGGTTCTGGGCATGACGAAGGATGAAAACTTCCTGATGCCTCATCAGCTTTGCCAGCCTTTGGTAACTGTCCTACTTTAGCTACAAACTTTTGACAGCTATTCTAGTTCACTGGGGCGCGAATTTAAACGGATAGATATATTTATATTTTAAGGGGCATTTCGAAGCACTCTGATTATGAATATCGTGCGCGAAAAGTCTAGGATAAGGAAGACATGGTCCAGCTTACACTTTTAAAGTACAAACGATTCACTCCAAAAAAGAGGATTTGAGTTGACAACCA